CCTTGGAAAATTGTATGTCAATATAAAATACCATGCTCCTATCATTTTAATAGGTTAAATGTAGCAAATAAAATTCTTCTTCCGTAAAACTAATCTTGAGTGTGTTGGATTCAAATTTATGCTAATGGCCTTTCTTGACTAACATTATTTTCTATAATATTTTCCATCATTTCTGATTCCCCCAAACACACATAATTATTCTTCTGTTTTGACCACTTCAAGTTTCTTACTATTTTTGCCTCATATCTGTTTTTTTTTTTTATAGCTGGCTGTTTTCTTGTGTTACATACTTGTTCTACTCTCAAAATTGAATTGTCACCTCATAAAGCTAGGTCTTTACTCCCTGGAATTCTACAGAGCATGATAAGAACACCGGTGATCTAAGTAGCAAAGATTTACTTTCCCTGGAATATAATAATAATAATTCCACAGAGCCTATACCATAATGAGTTTTTATTTCTTTTCTATTTCTTTTTCCAAAAACAGGAATATAAATATTTAGTGTCAAAGAGATATGTTTGTTGAGATGTCTTGCATATTATATTTCCTAAAGTGAATGAAGTTACAATCATACTTGCAATAGTTGTTAAAACAAAATTGTTTGGACACATCCATTGTTTAATAAATTATGTTGTGGCTAGGAACCCCCAGTAAACTGATTTGCTAAGCAATATATTGCATAAAATCTCCAACCTACATACTTTGTCTTTCAACTCTGCATCTTAAATATATAATAGTAAATGTTCATAATCTTTTTGAGTTGTTCTCCAAAAATACTGTTACTGGGTTATAACTAAGTAATTGAATTTGATTTGTATCTACATTAGTTAATTAACATTAACATTTTATAGAACAGTCAAGCTAATATTAGACCTTGGAAGACCAAACAACACTTTGTAATAAGTACTACCATTAAACTAGCATCATTACAAAAATTCAACCATTAGTAGCACTTCAAATTTGTGGATATCACCCACCAAACCACAAATCAAATTACCATGTTCTTCATTTTTTATTAGCTGTTAACATTAGAAAGAATTCGCTGTTAAAAGTCAAGATGAGCTGGCATGTGTTTAATATTTGTCATTGATTGAGTTTATACAAAAGCATGTACTAAATGTTAATTATATCTATTAATGGGGTTTTGCATTGTAATTTTAAAATGTCTTATGGAGAATGCAGTTATCACTTATCAGTATCTTTCTCAGATACAGATTTTGATCTTAAAAAAGGTCAAGTTGAAATAATGCAACTCATTTATATAAACATGTGAATGAATAGGTACAAATATGCTTGTATTATACATTTAAATGACTTCTACAAAAATAAGGTGAAAGATTAGTGATCTATCTTGTTCTTGAAACCAAAAAATCAATAAAGCTGACTGTCTCTTGATCTCTATCCCTGATCACATTGGATCCAAGGAAGAAATGTCTACCTTGGTTAATGGCTTCTTAAAATAGGTGAAGTTTTTTCTTTTTTTTTTTTTTAAGGCAAGGAAGATTTTATTTAAGACTACTGCAAAAGAGAGATTAAAGTCAATTCTATAGAAACAAAAGTTTTTAGAATACTAAGTGCTGAGTGAACTAGTAAAAAAAGTACTAAAGGACAAGAGGGGAATCTAATCTAGGCTTTTCCAAGAATCTCTCTATGGTGCTCTGGAAAGAATAATAAATTCTGGCTCAATGCACAGCATTAAATAAACAAACAAAAATACTTTTTAAGTGTCTAATAAAGTTCAGTAGTATCAACAGTCCTATCTTATATATTGCAGGTTTCTGAGAAAATCACCTCTCAAGATTAACTGTATCATTGGATGAGGTATCAATGCATCCTTCAAGAGAAACTGGGTTGAGTCCAGATTGTTCACCTTCACTGCCTGATGATAAACTCTGGCTTGGATCTGACTGTGTGGACCTGGCATTAGAAACAACACCTGGGTGGCTCAGTTCATCAAGTGTCTGACTCTTGATATTGGCTCAGGTCATGATCTTGTAGTCATGTGATCGAGCCTTGCATCTGGCTCACGCTGAGCATGGAGACTGCTTGGGATTCTCTCTTTCTCACCCCCTGCCACTTCCCCACGCAATCTCTCTCTCTCTCAAAATAAATAGACTTTAAAAAAGAAAAAAGAGGTGCGCCTAGGTGGCTTAGTCAGTTAAGCATCTGACTTTCGCTTAGGTCATGATCTCGCAGTTCATGGGTTCGAGCCCTGCGTCGGGCTCTGTGCTGACTGCCAGCTCAGAGCCTGGAGCCTATTTCAGAGTCTGTATCTCTCTCTCTCTCTGACCTTCCCCTGCTCACACTGTCTCTATCTCTCTTCTAGAAATAAATAATAAAAATGTTAGAAAAAAAAAAAAAGAAAAAAGAAACAACTTCCCGAGGAAAAAAAAATGATCCATTAAAAAAAAAAGAATAAGGCATCTTTGATAATATTATGCTTTTCTAGAAACATTTGTTGGAATCCTTGGTGCCTAGCTGAAAGCTAAGTCCCAGTCACCTAAACAAATTTATTTAAACAACAGATGTATTAAGCATCTACAAAGCTTGTCAGTAGTACCTCTATAATGTCAGGATAAAGATTCTTTAAAATTAAAATTCTAGGAAAAAGGAAAAAATGGAGGACTGTAATTTTATTTTACTTATAAGTAAATGTTTGCCACTTTTAAAATTTCATATATCAATTTAGTAACTAAAATATAGTAGGAGTTTTATTAAACTAGGAACTAGCAATTGATCTAGAATACTCTTAAGAATACATACACAGAGAGAGCACGCCAATAATTCTACCCATTCTTACCAATTTTCACAAGATATGTAAGTTTCTAAAGCTAGAATTTGGCAATATTCCTTCCTTAGCAAGAATTAAATCAATTTAATGGCATAGGGTAAGTGTTTTAAATGGAGCTTGGCAGAAAAAATTATTCCATCAAATCACTGTAAATTGGATTGGTTTGTTTGTTTGTTTTCCATTCTTCTTCCTCTTTTACACTGTGTCCAAAAGAAGGTTTATGGTTTGGTAAAAGTCCTGGACAGCAGAATAGATAAGGAACCACTGCCTCTCAAATAAAGAAGTACAGAGGCATTATCAACAAAAATCAAGACCAAATTTCCAGGAGAAAACATCCTAAGTAAAATGAATAAACAAAACCAAACAAAACAAAATGCCCATTTGGTCATATTTAAGGGCTACCCTGTGAGTTCATTTAATAATATTCAATACTCCTTTAATAACATGCAATATACTTCTATATAGATTACAAGTGCTATCTAATACAAGAGGGTTCAATAACTGAAATGATTAGAAAATATAATGAGAAAAAATTCCTACCAAAGGAATAAAGTTAATGAGCTAATGTAGGCAGGATCACATTCAATGCAAGGCCTCTGGGAAAATCCTTCCTTAAGTATGCAGGATATTCATTTGCTTCTATATTACTATCTTTCAGTAAAATACATGTCCCAACAAAACACATCTCAATAAGGGGCATATTAATAATATGAGAACCAACATAAAATAGATGTTCATCTGAAGTTACCCCTCCCCCCACACACATCTGAAGATGGATATTATAATCTCTGCTTTGCTTGGTTTCATCATGATATCACACCCCGTAATTGTCCATCTCTATAATATAACATTAAAGAGATGTAAAAACATTGGAAGGCATCTTAAGGAAAATCTGTTCCCTCTGCCCATTTCCGCCTGCCCCCTCACCCTCACTCTACACTTTTAGCAGGAGAGTTTCCTTTTGGAGAGAACAGACTTGGCATTTGACATGTCATATAACATTTACACAAGAGTCAACCATTTTTAGAACAAACTGTGTTACATATTTTTTCCTGGAAATTCAACCAACATAATCATTCATTTTAATACTCTTTGTTGTACTGCAGATACTACAGTTTCCTCTTTTCCTCCGTTCCTTCCTTTCTTCTCTCCTTCCTTCCCTCCTTCCTACTTGCCAGTTTGGACATTGCTTATTGACTCAAACTTTCTGCTTTGCATTTGGTAAGTGCAATGCCCCCTCCTAGGTAAGGAAGGAGAAATAGCTCTAAATAGGAGCTGTCAATGGAAGAATCATTGCACAACCAGGCACTTGGTGTCACAACATTGGCAAGTGTCACAGTAGAGTGTCAATAGGAAGAGTAAATTGTTCCCAGGCCTTTTCTCTAATCTGCTCCATGTCAAATTGGATGCTTGAACAGAATCTTACTCTCTGTCACCGTTATCAGTTGGGTAAAAAGGTTCACTTGATCATGGAATGTAAAATCAGACTAGAACAAATTAAGAGCTATATGACATTTCCCCATGTTGGCATAAAACTAAAAAAAGCAGGATTGGTCATCAAGTCATAATTAAGCATTAGCATGTAAGCAGAAACATTATCTTATATTGTCACAAGAACACTGTATTAGACACAAGCAGCAAAAATGTTCCAGCCAGCCCTGGTAGCCAGGAAATTCTTTTCAAAGGTGTTTCCTTTTTGGGCTTTCCCAATTTGTACTCAGTAAAGAAGTTAGGGACCTAATGTGAGGTTTTAAATATTCACTTTCAATAAATAAATAAATAAATCGCTTTCAATAAATAAATAAATGGCTTTAAATAAATTAAAAAATCACCTTAAATGAATAAATAATTTGCTTTCAATAAATAAATAAAGAAACATCTCCTTTTTTGTGTGTGTATATCATGTGACTGAAAACAAAATGCACATTTTCAACCCATCATAAGCAGTTTGATAAATTGTGTCGCAAAACTCATTCTATCATAACCTCTCTAATGCACTTAAAGTATGCAAAAGTACAAAAATAAAAATAAAACCAAATCAAGATCTCTATATAGAGATAAGTGGCACATGAGGGAGCACTGGTATTTTTTAAGTGGCCTTTCACAGTAAATATTCCATTCCTTGTATGCTGTTTCATTAAAAACTGCATACACTCTCCCATTCACAAATGCACTCAACCTCACATAGATGTATAAAAAAAGAACTTACACAATTTCATCGTTCTGGAACTCGAGCTCTCCGCAAGTGTCCTCAAAGTCCTCCCCACCACCTCTGGCAGTCCCTTCAATGGTTTTATAGGGAACGATAACATTTCCTCGAGCTCCAGATGTTCTCAATACCTTCACCTCCATAATGCCGATGCTCTCGCTCACATGAGTCACAGGTTCCTCAAAAGTAAAGATGCCAGCATGGTCATCATCAAAGATAGTCACAGTGGCAGTGGAGGGAGAGCCGAGGCAAGCAAGTGTAGAAACATGATTTGCTTCCAGGATGCCATCTTCTGAGGCTTCAGAAGATACTTTAACGTTGCTCAGATGCACAAGGAAATTTTCATCCTCCTCAAAGATATCGTCATCGATGATGCCAACTCTGATTTCCTTCTGGGTCTCACCAGGCTTAAAGACCACAGTTCCTTCAGTAAATTCGTAATCAGACCCAGCATTGGCTGTGCCGTCCTCTGTTCTGAAGTCAACGAACACAGTGTTGGTCAAATCACCACCTCTGCGGAGAATGGTCAGGGCTACAGTACCACAGTTCTCCAAACACTGATAGGTCCCTTGTTCAAAGAAGATCTTACTAACAGGGTCATTTTCAGCCACTTCAGTGTTGACCTCATGCATGCTGACAGCTTTCCTTGCCTGATCAGCTGCATGCCTCTTTAAAATGTTTCCAGCTCCAGTCATCAGGCGAGTAGCTTGGATGCGGTAAAATGCTCGACTTTTTTGCTGCTGACTTAGGACTTGGTAGTTCGCTAATTCTATTAATTGCTCTATTTCTTTCTCCGGGTGTTTCTGCTTAAGCTCCTTCAGAATCCTAGCCATTTCTCGCCTAGCCTCTTCATCATCTTGGTCCCTCTCGTCAACCTCCAGAACCAGGGCACCATCTAAGAAATTGTCAACGTGGGAATTGACCACTTTCCCATCCATTTCAATTTCAGTCTTGGAAGATGGCCTGTCTCCTTCATGTTCAATAATCATTCCCCTTTGCTTGCCAGCCCGATACCTCTTGTAGACATACTTGTAAAAGAGAAGCCTCCTATCTGCTACCCAAGCGAACACAACACAGATGGGAAAGAAGAAGAAAGTAAGCAAACCTTCCCAGACCTCCACGACCCCAGGAGAGATGACAGACAAAATAATGTAAAGCCAAGTATAGGCAAAGATGCTCCAGGCTGCTGTCACAAAGAACACACGCAAATGCTTAATCTTCCTTGTCTCTCCATCTGGGACCACGTAAACACAGAGTGCGATAATGATGAACATATTGAATGCAGCACTTCCCACGATGGTGCTGGGACCTAGGTCTCCCGCAGTGAAGTTATGGCCACACACTTCAATTACCGAAAGGAGAATCTCTGGAGCAGAAGATCCCAGGGCCATCAAGGTCAGGTTGGAAACGGTCTCATTCCAGATCCTCACAGTGGTCTTGGTGGTCTCTCCATTGGGTTTCTTTATGGTTATTTCTTTTTCTTGAGATGTGATGACTTCTATAGAGGACATGAACCGGTCGGCAATGATAGAGACTCCGAGAAACATGTAGACCATGGCCACAAAATACACGGTAGCTCTAGCAATTTTGTCTCCAAAGGAAGGGTCTTGGGGCTCCCAAATGGGTAAAATTACCCCCTTCTTACAGTAATATGAGCCAGTACACTCGCCAGTCTCATTGCCTTCTCCTTCCATTTCTGTGTCAGCACTTATCAGGTCCACATGGGAAAATAAGAGAGCCATGAAGGCTAACAGATGAAATCCCATTGAAAATGTAGGTGAGAGTCCTAACTGCAGCATGTTGCACAATAGTAGACTTCCAACTGTCCCAACCTACTGGCAAAAATAAGATGGAGAGAGGGTAGGGAAGAAAAATCACATCATCAGAGCCAGATCCAAAGCATGACTAATTACTTATTTTTATTACTCTTACCAATGATTTGTTTATTTTTGACCACCATAACATCTATGGTGAATCATTATTCTAGGTATCCATCATTGATGAAGCAATCCTTTGTAAAACTCATAGCCCAATCTCTCTGCTATTCTACATGTAGCCTCCATTCACTAAGCAGTGTACACAACTGACTTCTTGGAAGTGAAAAGTTAAATTATAGGTTTGCCTTGTTGCATACATAGTTATGCATGCTAGCAGCCAATGGGGGGGGAGAAAGAATTCTGAAGCATTAAATAATTTTCTCCTTGTTACTAATGCAGGTTTTCCTTTTAAATTTTGATTAGTATAACCACCTTCCAGAAATGGTTTCATTGCCAAAATCACCTTATTAAGACTGATGTTTTAACGTCAGACTCTAAAAATTTTACCAACACAAGGCCTCTCGATGATCGGAAGTTCTGGAGAACACCTCACACTGCATTTTATGAAATCACATCCTACGGCTCCAAGCTTACTTGGAAACACAGAGATATCTTCAAGGTTTCCCACAGTCAATGGTATGTGTACTTGAGAGGGAAAATATTCTGCCATAATGCAGTATTTCTGCACATTTAGTTTTTAAAAACATACTTTGATGAGAGCACATTTCCTCCTAATTTTCAGCAAGCCCAGTTCTCCTGATACATTAGCAGCTGGGCATCTGGTTCGTGAAGCACAGCTCTTCAAATCTGGGTATAGATCTCGCTTTTGAATCTGCAGGCTGTCCACAGCAGGAAAGGGAGATAACCAGGCCAGGGCCTAGCTGTGTGTTAAGACTCTTGTCTGACAGGCTGTGAAATCAGCTTTTCTAGCCATAAAATCTTCCTTTTCCATGTTGATGTCATCCTTTTCCATGGTCATTCTAAAACATATATTAGTTCTACAGAGGGTTCAAGTGACCAAAAAATACAGGAGCAATAATTCCATCTAAATTAGCTCATGTGGCACAAACACGGTGACCACAAAGTATATACATGATGACAGGCTGTAAGTAGAGATCCAGCAGCAGAGTCACTGAGCCACATAAAGCTTGGTAAAGAAAGCAAAGTGGTGGACTGGAAAATCGTGGCACTAACCTCACCCACCAGCTCAGGCAAAACTCTACTTGGATCATACATCACCTCTGCCTTGAAGGTTTGGTAAGGGGCTGACATAGAGGAAGGTCTGCTCCAAGTTAGGGTAACTCTGGTCTGGAAGGCCAGTTATGACATTAGATATAGAAGGGGTCCTGAGTCAGAATATCCCCTTTGGCCTGATGAAAACTTAAAAGTGGAGCTAGACTGGAGGTTTTCATAGCCTGGGGCAGTCTGAGAGCCTCCCACACATTCATCTACATTCTTTGGCTGCCCATGTTTGCTACTGATGGCATACAGTGGAAATTCGCCAGGGCCCAGGAGAACCCCGCTGGCCCAGCACATTCCAGCAGACCCTCAGAGAGCCCAACATTGCTGAAAGCCCCTTTTAGCTCATCACTATTGGGAGATAAGCTTTGACATTTTCCCCAGACTAAAGACACAGCAGAGAGTTGTGGTAGCAGAATTACATTCACCATAGAAGGCTGTAAAATAGAAAAAGCATATTTAAAAAAATTTTTTAATGTTTATTTATTTTTGAGAGAGAGACAGAGCATGAGCGGGGGAGGATCATAGACAACGGAGACACAGAATCGGAAGCAGGCTGCAGGCTCTGAGCTGTCAGTACAGAGCCCGACGCGGGGCTCAAATTCTCATTCAAGCCTGGAGCCTGATTCAGAATGTGTCTCCCTGTCTCTCTGACCCCCCCTCACTCACACTCTGTACCTCTCTCTCAAAAATAAATAAACATTAAAATAAAAAAATAAAATACGCAAGATTCACGGTCCGTGGTTCTACTTATTCAGTCATTACAGGGCTTGGCTGGGCTGCAGGATCACCACTTAAAACAAGAAGACGTTGAAGCAACCTGCAAGAGTAGTGGACGATCTAGTTAAAATTCCCTTATGCAGTCATTTATTCCACAAATATTTATGAGTGCCACCTACTACATGTTTTGTAATGACCTGCTGGGCTCTCTCCTAGGTCCTAAGAATTCATCAATGGATTAAAAGCAAAGAAACAAAAGTTTCTGTCCTTGAAGACCTTATATTCTGTCAGAGAGGAAACAAAGAAATAAATGTCAGATGCTAAAAAGTGCTGGAGAGATGGGGGCGGAAAGCAATATAAGTAGGATGGGAGTCCATGGGTGTGAGAGTGTGTGTGAGTGTGTATGCGAGTGTGTATACACACACGACATACATGATTTTATATTGGGTGGTTAAGAAAGGCATCCATGATGAGATGACACTGGAGCAAAGCCCTGAAGGAAGTAAGGAACCAAGCCTTGTGGGTATCTATGGGAAGAGAATTCCAAGCAAGTGCCAAGACGCTTTTAGGACTTCTCTTTGCATAATCTAGGAGCCATAGAGGAGCCAGTGTGACAAGAGGGCATGAGCCAGGGGAAGAGGGCTCAGAACCAGTCTTTCTGCTGGTTCCCTGAGGAATACAAATATAGGGACAAGGGACAAGGGTGGAAACAAGGAGACCAGGTTTTGCCTTTTATTTAAAACTCTGGGGTCACATGAGTGGTCCAGTTTGTTAAGCTCCTGACTGATGGTTTTAGCTCAAGTCATGATCTCACAGTTCATGAGATCAAGCCCCACATCTGGATCTGCACTGACAGTGCGGAGCCTATTTGGGATTCTCTCTCTCTCTCTCTCTCTCTCTCTCTCTCTCTCTCTCTCCCTCTCCCTCTCCCTCTCTCCCTCTGTCTCTGTCTCTGTCTTTCTCTCTCTCAAAGATAAGTAAATAAACTCTTAAAAAAAACACCCTGAATTATAAATCATCTCCATGCCTGGCAGGTATAAAAAATGATACAATCAAGATTTCTAGTTTAAAACCTTTGGAAGATTTACAACTTAATATGTCTTGGGAACTTGTGAGGATCAGAAAGGTTAAGTATTTGCTCATAGAGTATAGTATGGAATGGAGAGAGGAAACACAGAACAGAAATTTCAACCTGTGCCTGTCTCCAAGACTGATATAATTCACCACTTCCTTCAAATTTCTGCCAAATCTCATCATTCCATTTTCACATTTCAGCCAAAATGAGCTTTCTAAAGTACAAGTCTGACTCTCTCAGTCCCCTTAAAACTCTTCTTTGGTTGCCTATTGCCTTGAAAACAAACCCAATCAATCCCTCCAAAAAGCTGTTCAGACCTTTTAGGATCTAGCCTCTGAGTTCCAAATTCTTTCCATTCGCTGACCATGACCATGCTTTCTGACCTCCAGGTCTTTGAAGATACTGTTTTCTGTGCACCAAACTATTTTCTTTCTTAGAAGTAAATGTCAAAATGGCACAACAGCAAGTCACTGTCAATTGCCTCAAAGATTAACAGGAGGTTCTATTTATAAACACTACAACTGACACTATGCTAAATTCTTTATGTGTATTCTTATATCTAATGCTTACAATAACCAGCATTGCTATTTTACACAACTCCTAGTGTTGCCATTTACATTACAGTCCATGAGAATAGCGCTGCCTGAAGTTATGCAATGCTCAGTGCCCTAACAATCACCCTATCCAGTAGATATTATTAGCCCACTTTGGAGATGGGATTCACTGAGGCTCAGCCAGGTTAAGTACTTGTTGGAAGTCATAGGGATAGTAAACTCCTGAATACAGATTCAAACCCTGGTCTGTCTCTATGACCGGTATCATTAACTGTTCCATAATAGCATCCCTGATAGTGTGTGAAGTAATCTTAGAGAGCTATTGGATTTGGACTTGGACTGGCCCATTGGAAAACCTCTTGGCTTCCATGAAGGGTTAGGAGGGCCTCAGTAGCAAAGCCCCATGGAAGGTTTCCAACAGCCTCACTTTTATCTTATGGATTAGAGACTCAAACAGACAGGCATCAAGAGCTGTGATGTAATGTTCAGGCTGGCATGTTCCGAGACACAGCTGCCCTGCACTTGCTTGTTTTTTAGCAATGACCTGGCCACCTCTTTCTGTACACATTGTCTAAGGGCAATCTCTTAGCCTAGCCAAAAAAAAAAAAAAAAAAAAGAGTCATGCCCAACCCACATCTCACCGCATATTCTTAGCCAAAAGGGTACAGATGTCTAAGGGTGGATGCATCAGTAAAACTGTCTATCAGAGAAAAAGGAAGGGGGTTTCTGAGGTTAACTACAAAACATCACAATTATATTCAAAAGGTGGTAGTGTTATAATCTGTGAAATCAGGGGATATAGAACACTGATAACAGATATTTGGCAATGGAGCAACTGGAAAGAACTCTCTGGACCTCAGTTTCTTTTTTTACTAAATTAATTGCCAAATCCAAATGCTTGGGCAGATGTGGAGCAGATCTTATCTAAATGAGAGTTCCCTCTTCATTCTTTTGTTTCAGGGTGTTTCCTCTGTCATCAGATTCAAGCAGAACTACTGACCCTTCCTCCAGTCTCCTTAAATATGTATTTCCATAAAAATTAAGCAGGAAGTCGAGGCTGTTGATATGTTACTCTGCTGCCCAGCTTTCTTATATTCTGCCCTGATCTACTGAATTCTGTAACAAGGGGGAGGCCGTTTTTCATGGAGGTTTCAGATCAACTCTTATGTCTAAGGCTGATTCTTGCTGAGGAATATCCATTACATCAGCTAAATGAGCCTTCAGCACAGAGTCAAGAATATTCAGATTATCTTCTACTCACTATTTATTTTAAAGGAAAACTAACGCCAGCACCTACAGATTACAGATGTGAATGGCAGTGACAAAGGTTAGTGAAAAGATATCTAATCGAAAAAGCCCAGACACCAGGGTTGAAGGGAGAGATTATCGGAATGGAACATGCACAACAGA